CCATGCACTGCAAAAAGGATCTGGAAATAAGTCAACAATTCTTAAATTAAGTGTATTTACCCATTATAATTATCAGCTTGACTGAAAATGTATTTATGATATTTGCAAAAAATGTTAATAGTTAGAGTAATGCTGAGCAGTACTATTAGGAATATGGAGATCTGAAGTTAATTTCCAGAATGTTTATTCTAGATGTGGAGATTTTAATTTTGTTTAAAATGGTCATTTAGACAAAGAAAACGGATTATTTTTCAGATATCAGGAATACATGTTGAGTAAAACTAGTAAATATCAAAACGGCGATAATATTGGAAATATTATGGGATTATTTCCTGAATGCTAGAAGATCAATGTATCTATTTATTTCGTTTGGAGCTTCGCTTCATGTTTTCATCCCAATAAATGGTCGTTATCAGTGGCTATCAGGTTCATAGAATGGCTTCAGATTATTCCAGTAGGCTCAGGTTGTTATCATTGAGTAAATCCTAATCCTAATGAATTAATGCATCTATTTATGTGTAATCTAAAAAAATAATCTCAGTAGTTCTTCATGTGCTGTAAATATAATTAAATAAAAATAAAATGATCCTCATCTCGTTCACATTAAACAAACCAAAAACCAGTAATCTCCCATCCACTCACTGAGTTGGTGAATCCTCTCTCTATAAATATTTAATTCTCTGAATTAATGCAGATCGTTGCTGATTGGCTGTAAGGAGAGCGGAGACAGAGGACACTCTGAGTTTACTGGAGAAAACCTGCTGCTGACCAGGTTAGCTCTGAGGAGGATGTTACTATGGCAACAGATACAGAGGATGAGGAAACTGTCTTTGTGAAACAGAAAAGTTAGAGTTTCCCTGATTTCAGGTTTTGAAAATTCAGAGTTTTCAGTAAATCTGCTTCGTGAANCATAACATAAAAAAATAAAAGATATCAAGGAGAATAGATGATTTAGAATGGCCTTTCACTGGTTTTTCTCCAGTTTCTATCTCATCTGTATTTTTGCTTTTCGCTGACATTTAAGCTCAGATTAACTCTGCAGGCTGGGACTATAAATCTGATATCTGAGACGACCGTACTGCCGCTGAAGCTCCTCAGAAATGTTATTAGTACCCAGAACAGTAGTGAGAAGTTCGGTATCCGTTCTTTGCCTGTTTTGTGTGTTAACGGTCATGGTTGCTAGGCGACAGAGCGTACGGGCGGTGAAAGGCGCAGGAGGCTGGACCTGCTTGAATCCGCAGCCAAAACTCTTCCAGTCTCAGAGGATCCAGTGCAGGCAGACCGGGTCCTTGGAGGATGCAGCTGCTGAAATCAAACGCACCCAACATTGTGTGTTTAGTGCAGCGGAAAATCCAACTAAAAACATAATATTAATAAAAAATAAAAAACAAACACCCAATTTAAATAATTATTTAAATCATTCATCCCTGGTTTGGAAGCATGTAACTTTGTTTCCGATGTTCATGGTCAAATGGTCATAAATGCATAAATGACAGCAGCTAAAAGCAGATGTTTTGATATTTATATGGAAGAAAAAAGGAAGCACTTTAAAATCGAATCAGTGTCTCCAGAAACTGATGTTGATATGAAAATCAATGTTATATAAGATCCTGGGAATGCATAATAATGTATTTGCACTCTTATTTGAAAAAGTTGAAGGCATCCATGGCTGTATGCAGCGGTCTTTCTCCTGATATCATTTTAGAATACATAAACTCTCCATATTTGTGAATTTAAAGTATTTTTATTCTTACAGTATATTATATTGTGATGGCAGGCTGACAGATCCAGACATGGAATTTGCATTTTCATGCCTACTAATATTTAAGTTGAGCCACTTTCATCCTGTTTATTAAATAGTAAAAAACTGCTGCATGAGTTCTGGTGAACTTCCAATAATTTCCTCCTTGGATGTGAAGCAGCTCAGGTTAGTCTATTTGGCCAAACCTTAAAAGAATCCCTCAGACTGCTCTGCCTCTTCCTCCAAACAGTCTTTCAAGCACTTTATTTCCCACCACTTAACGAAGCTCTCTCCCTTAGTTGGCTCTTAAGCCCCGCCTCACAGCCGTCTCCATTTTTGTTTTGTTTTTTGGTCTCTGTAGACGAGCAGAGATGGACAGATGCTGACTTTAGAAATCAAATGATGTAGAGAAGACGCTTTCATTTCTGTCACCTGGAGCATAAAAATTATGAAATGTTTATTATGCATTTATTGGCGTTAAGGAAATCCTCATGCTTTGCCTTTTTACACTGGTTGTGCCACTGGTTGTGCTGGTTGTGCCACTGGTTGTGCTGGTTGTGCCACTGGTTGTGCTGGTTGTGATATTTCAGGTTCAAACAGCATCTCTTATGGAAATAAGCCATTGGTTGGTACCTTTGTAGGACGAGGTTATAATAGGATATTGTTGCCCTTTAGCTTTCTGCGCTGCGCTCAGATGCATTTAAATGTCACTGCTGTTTCCTGCCTTTTTAGAACTGTGCTGGAAATGGGAACCATGAATGCCAGTCTGGCTCCCATTACCTGCCGCCTTGGTTTGTATCTGTGGCTCTTTGTTTACACTAGACTTTCTAGATCACGCTCAGGGGACACAAGGAGCATATTTATAGCATTATATACACTAATTACTAGTTGATGACCCATAACAAATTTCATTGTAGCAATTAAGATGCACAGGTATTTTATTATTATAGATGACATTAAATCCTGCAGGGAGTTTTTGTTCCACATATAAAGCTAGAAACTCTTGATTCAGCTTCCTGTAAAAAACCCTGAAATCGACGGAGATATGCTCAGTTTTAAGCACAGGGCCTGATTGTTTTATTTTTATTTTTATTGGCTCTGAACTATAAATGCATGAAAAGGTTTCATAAACATCCCAAAATAATTATAAAAAAACAATCTGTCTTATAGTATTTGAGGTATTTGCAGGATGTTTATTTCTTTCATTCATGCTTTCAGATCTAGTTAATCTGCTGGAGATTTATGGAGACTATGGTTTCTAAAGGAAAACTGTAAATAATAGAAAACCGAGGGTTATATCTGACGACACTTTTAGGTTTATGAAGCAGCAGATGTGAAGAAGCTCTTTACTGGAGGGACTCCAGTTATTCTTACCGTTTTTTTCTGTTAGGCTCTTCATTTTACCAACTCTCCTTATTTGCTCAATGAGCTTCCAGAGAAGTCTCCATAAAAAACACTGAACTAATGTAAAATTTAATAATAAAGGAATGACAGTTGTAGATAATCCTGTCATCCTCTGGGTTAAAAAAAAAAAAATTTATATGGAGAGAAACTACTGAGAGGAAAAATACGGAATAGGATTAGGGCCACTGAAAAAAAAAAAGTTAACTGATTTTTAAATTTTATTTCAGTTTAATATGGGAAAAAAGTCAGAATTCTGACTTTTTTCCAATACTATACTGAAATAAAATAAAAAAAAATCTGTTAACTTTTATTTTTTCCAGTGGCCCTAATCGTCTTCCGTAGAAAAATAACCTGAAGCTTTAGTAAAATGTTGATGAAGATCAGAAAATTTAGATTTTTCTTATTTCACATTTTGATTTATGTTATTTACTCAATATGAACCTTTTCACTATTATAGTGAGCAGTTTCACCTGCAAGGTGTTTGTAGACCAGACATAACAAACCAGATCCTTTCTTAAGGTTTAATTAATAACATGTTACAGTTTAACCAGAGTGTCTGTAATGTGCTTGACTCTCTAACTTTCCATTATTGTCAGTAAGGAGGAACGAACGCTGCAGGATCAGAACAGGACTGATTACCATCCAATAACGCCGTATGATGAACTGTTCTCTCTTTGCAAAGATAAAATAACGTTTCGACTGAATGAAATTCATCGATCTCCGTTTATTTAACTGAGCTGAATAGTTAAATCCTTTTTTCCCACAACACAATAAAATCTCACACTTTGAAAAGCAATTCCAAAATTTGAAGTCTGATTTAAATACCTTAGAAAAACTGTCAATTTTTTAATAGAAATAAAACCTGTTAAAAAAAATAAAAATCCAAGTTCTTTAAATTCATTATTTAACAGCATGATGAAAAAGACCAGCGGCGACTTTAAGGTTTTAAGTCATTTCTTTCTTTTTCTTTAGCCGTTCGTTCCAACTGGAAGGAAAGTAGTGAACTTGGAGCGTCTTAAAATAATAACAGGACATGAAGAAAATGTGACAAAAGTCTGATTTTCTAAACTGTGAAAATCTGTAACATTGAAAGACAATAGAAATATTTTATGTGCATTTTATTTTTTTGCTGGTCTGTGCTGTATTTAACGACATTTAAAATCCTCAATTAGCCAAGCAGAGTAATTGATGCTCTGATGCTGAAATGTTCTCTGCAGACGGACTGACGGACTGCGTGGATCCAGACTGCTGCGAGCAGCTGAGCTGCGGCTCTGACCCCCTGTGCCACGGCTCGGCCGACCCCCTGGCCTTGTTGCAGCAGAACCCGCTGTCCCCCCCCACACCTGCAGGCACGCACACGCAGAGCTTCTACCGCCGCATACGCTTCCTTCTCGGCAAGGCGGCCACACACACTCTCCCAGGAGAGGTGCCCTTTGATACCAGGTATGCACTTGTTTACTCTCTGCGTGCGCTCGCTGCCGCAGCCTTTCAGGTGTTTGCTTTGCATGTCTCCGTCCTTGAATCGTCTTAGCAGGCATTAAGCTGAAAGGAATAAATTGTAGATAATGGAGCATTTGTGTTAATAAATGACAACGTCCATTTCCCCGTTATTTGTTTAATGAATGTGTGTTTGCATGTGAATCAGGCTTTTTCTTGTGCCGGCGTGCTTTGCATGCCTCCTGGTGATGTTTGTGACCTGGGAGACCAACAGCCGCCTGGCAGAGCACCGTCAGACTGCAGCTCCAGAGTTCCATTCATTCACACCAGTAACCGTGGTGTCACCAGTAGGATTTTCCTGCCCTCTCACTGCCAGCTAATGCTGGAAATGCATGATGATGACCCACAAAGTTTTGGGTGAAACACAGGAAGTGATGCGTCTGTGAATAATTGGCTCAGCCTCCACCAGGTTGTCCTGTAGAATAAACAAATACATTAATTATACAGACATTTCTCTACTTCTTTTTTTATTTCTTTCAATAGAGAAATCAACGGCAGCTTTCAGCAACGCAGCAGCAAACGGGGCGATGCAGAAACCTGCAGAAACCTCACCATCCTCCATCGGTTTATAGATGTTCCTTCATTAGAAGTTGTTGTGTTTGTGGATTAGAAGGATGGATGTTTAGAGACTCATTTCGCACCCTTGGCGCCTCGTACCCAGGTTTCATACCCAGCTGCTGCCATTTTATCCCTTCCTTCCCATTTCTTACTCCTTTATGTAAACCCTGTTGTTTTACGTTTATCGTCATCAGAAAAATGCTCTAAACAATGTGCTATTAAATAAATCATAACCTCTGAAATGTCTTTAAACGTTACATCTATAGTGATAGAGAAGTTAGAAAGCAGCAGCGCAGCCTGCAGGTAAGTCGCCTCTTTCGGCGGCCTAGAGGCGGGAGCAGAGTTAGCGCGGCGGACTAACTTTAAGCTGCTTTATAAACTCAGCTTTCTGTCGTCTGAATGAGGCTGGATATCGCTTTAGTTTGCATCACCTAACCGACACCGGCGCGGTAAAATAACTGACCTGCAGGTCTTGAACAGGCCATCAACATGTTTTTATCCTATCTGGACACGAACGTTTGTTTGCTCTGCTGTCTGTGACGCCATTTTAATGATGCGGTTCAGGCTTTATTTGCTCTTCAACTTTTCTCTGTTAACCATCCTCAGTTACTTCTACCAGTAACTGGATTTAAATATCAAGCTGTATTTATAGCCTGTATCCTGGCAATCTCTGTGGAAATGAAGAGAATTGTTGTGAGCAGAATAAAGGCAGCTGCTTCTTCTTCCAACACAAGGTCATTTGGCTCCAGCATGACAATGTGCCGCCTTTCTCAAACAATCATTATGTTCTCTGTCATGGTGAAGCTGTCATGTCTCCCTGTTTATCTCTATTTTTCTCCCCCCTCTCTTTCATCTCGCCGCCTTTGTTTTGACAGTCGTGTGGCTGTGATTCGAGGGAGCGTTGTGCTGCAGGACGGCTCGCCTCTAGTTGGAGTCAACATCACCTTCCCGCAGCATCCAGAGTACGGATTCACCATCAGCCGCAAGGATGGGAGGTAGTGAGGAGAAACACGCAGTGATGGAGTTTTCTGTCCCCCCCCCTCTGAGCTGACCGCGTCTCGTCCTGCTTTGATTCCAGCTTCGACTTGGTGACCTTCGGCGCCACGTCCGTCACCCTCATGTTCCAGCGCCCCCCCTTCCTCCCACAAACACGCATCATATGGACACCCAACAACAACTTCCTGGTTTTAGATCAGGTGACCATGGCCAGAGAGGAGCCCGGGGCCCCTAAATGTGACATCAGGAGTGTTTTAAGTCCCTATCCGCTGGTCCTGCCGTACCCCCTCCCCAGATACACAGGAGCCTGTACAGAGAAGGGCCCCGCTGTCCCCGAGCTGCAGGTACCCTAACGTATTGTTAAAGAGATACTTAAAACCAGAGTGTTATGGATCAGTATGTGCATTTAGTGAACAAAGAAATTAAATTAAGAATTAATAGGAATTAATTAGAAAACCTGCTATTGTTTAAAATCTATTTTAAGCCTCTATTGATCTGATTTTTGGGTAAATCTTTACACACAATCATTATGGAAAAAATAAGTTTATGGTTCCACCAGCGGAGATATTCACTTTGCAAAGCGGACAACAAAAAAACAGGAATTTAGATTTTAATTGAAATAGAAAATGAAAATACAGGTTTAAAAACACAGACTGTGCACATAAATAAAAGCCTTTAAATGGCAGAAGTGATGTTGACACATGTGAGCGTTTAATCCCGACTCTTTATTCATAAGCGAGGAATCTCCATCTAATGCAAGAAGAAAAAACATTTAAAGTTTTAACATGATTGGTTCCAATGAAGTAGAACAGAACAATTAATAATTAGACAGATTGGTTAGATAGATTGGTTCTCCTGCATCAACAGAAGGAAACATTTTCATCCCTTATATTCACTAAAATCCTCTATTTACACTAAACCTATATAAACTAAGAACTCCTCCTTAGGCTCCATCAGTCTAATCCAACATATATGGTAACAGAAACGCATTTAACAGAAAACATTTCTACATCTAACATCATTTGTTGCACAGTCCTACAAAAAGAAAAAAAGACGTAAACTAAAGCGTGAAGCTGTTTGGAGTCACAGCGTTGGGAATAAAGCTCTTATTTTCTGCGCTGAGCGTCTCTGTCTGTCAGAGCCGCCGCCGCCTCAGACCTCAGTGGGAGTCACTTTAACTCAAACTCTCATCAATCTTGTGTTGATTTTAAGTATGTAATGATTTATATGAATATTTTCATTAAGCAACTGATTATAATAACTAAAACAGCTTCCAGTAGTTCATCCATTCCTCCCAGAGCAGCAAATGAGATCATGAATCTGAGAAATATTCATTTTCAGAGGTTTGCTGATGAAGGAGCATAACACTGATCATAATGCAGCTTCAATGATTATCAAACTTTGCTGTGATTTTTTATTTTTATTTTTTATGGAGTTTGTTCATTGATATACTGTAGCTGGGCTTTCTGCCCCAGTTTTAGGCATGTTTTTAACAGGGTTACGATTCAGACACATCTAACAGCTTAATATTAGCCTCAAACTATTTTAAAAGCAGTTTTCATGAATGTTTGAGTTGTAGATCATCCTTTTTGGCCAAAATTTTACTAAAACTTTAAGTGAAAGAAAACCAGTGATGGTATTTTAGGATCAACCTGAGAGGTGCCACCTGATAATAAAGTGGAAGAACGTTAAATACAGATGTCACAGGACAAAAAGCTGCTCCAGAATCTAAAAGCTTTTACTGTCAGACGAGACAATAAAACCTCCCTTTGTTACTCAGCCTATTTATTACGGATAAACAGTTTTTAAACGTGGCTCTTTACAATTTCAATCACTTGCGTCACTTCCTTGATGAAAATATTCTCTAAAGTCAGTTTGATTCATCTTCTGAGTGAACATTCATTTGAACTTCACTGCTTCATTTAACATTTTCCTGAGAGGTTTCAAAAAATGAGGAAAACGCCACTGCTCAGGATGGGGGGGGGGGGATAAGACGGTCAACCATCTTTATGAAACTTGTGCACAAAGTGATGATCTATGGAGATCAGTCAAAACTGAAGCTGTTTGCTTCAGCTCAGCTTCTAACAAAGCCGCTCCCAAAAGGATTTAGCTAATTTAGCTCATTTCCTATTTGCATGAGACACATAGGAAATGAGCACAATACCACACACACACACACACACACACACACACACACACACACACACACACACACACACACCCACACACAAAGGCAAATCAGGTTCCTGAGAAGCAGATGTTGAGGTTAAACTTCATTTTCATTGATTAAAGTAAACAGAATAAATAACTTTACTCAGCTATCCTCTATATAT